TGAATATTTTGATTAAATCTGTTGAATATTAATTATTTTGTACAATGTATGTGATTTATAACCCTAACAGCATTCGGATATTCAAGATATCCTGTGGACGTCCTAGAGATATCCGGAAATTTGGATATCCTTAGGACGTCCATAGGATATCTTGAATATCCGGATGCTGTTAGGGAATAATAATTGAGTAAAAAGTTAAAGAATATTTTATGATTTATATATTTTCTTGATAGTGCCCGGTTATGATACACCCTGTATATTTAGTCTATATCTATTTTATTTTAATTAATTTTCTCGGAAATCTTATTTAACATATAATAGACTGTCAACGTGTTGATAAACAATTTTTATTATACGTGAATTATTTTTTTGTTATTTATTTAGATTATATAAAATTTCCAATTCCTAAGAAATCTTTGAATATAATATATAATGTATAATATAAACCGATGATATAGATCGGACGGTGAAGCGCCTTGGCTTGCGATCACTAAGGTTAAGCACTGCTGAGTACGATTAGTACTTGGATGGGTGACCGCCTCGGTGCTCGCTATAGCCCTGGTGTTTTCACTGTGAGCGAGATATATCAAGCGGAAGGTTTGACGCCGAGGATGTGTTTGTACATTTGTGATAATTATTATCCAAATATACATTCACAACTCGACTCTCAATAAACCGGCTGTGCTCGGGAGAGGTTTTCTGTAGTTTTCCTCTCCCCTGGCCAAAAGTCCAGGCAAATGCGAGTGCTTCTAATAAAAGTCGGTCTACAGCCGCAATTTTAAGAGTTTGTTGAGTTCAAAGAGTTAAAATAAAAGTTGTGAGCAAATTGTAAAGACCCCTAAGGGGTATACAATGAAATCAATTTTAACTTTATAATGTATAATATATAATATATAGTGGGATTCCAGGTGAGATTTTGACTTTTTCTGAGTAGGTTAACCGATTGCAATGAAACTTTGGAATTTTGTTATATATAGTAAGACTAATCTTTAACGTAAATTGCAGCTTAAAATATTTGTTAGTTTACGAGATTTGCAATAATAACAAAAATTTTGAAATTGCTATATCTTTCGTTCTAATAATCGAATTGAAGTCTACTTTTTTTAAAATGTCAAGGAAAATGAGAGGAATAAATCTCTTTCAGAACAATTTTTTATAATTTTACAACTAAAAAAATTATTAAATAATAATTGAATAAATTTCACGCGACAATCTAAAATTCAATAACTTAAATGCTAAAATGATCTTACCTGTGTTTTCTTTAATGTTCCAAAGGAATCCAATTGTAAATGAAAGTTTAACTTATTTAATTTTAATAATTTACGAGTATAAACAATTGCGATTTCTGCTAGTTGACGTGCAGACGACATTAAATCAAGACGGGGAACGGACTCTTTAATAGATGCGCTTCTGCGGCGCATACTCAATCTTTCGCATACTCTGTAAGTAGAAACTTTAGATTTGTAGAGTATGAGGCGAATTTTTTTTCTCGGCAGTCGGTGGTTAGGTTAGTGTATAGGGTCTTTTTAGCTAGCGCGCGTCGAACCCGGGTTCAATCCCCAGTTCCTCCAAATTTATTTTCAAATTTTTCTCAAAAATACTAGAAGTCGAAAAACGAGCAACACAACAATGTCATAAATAAAAAAATTCAAATTTTTTTTAATTTTCATTTTCTGTGACATCTTTTATAGGATCCTATGTAGGAAACTATATAGAAAAGTATATAGTTTCCTGTAACATTGCCTGAACCAAATTCGAAAAGTAATGTCGTATGTAGTCTTGAAGCTTCCTTATAGATTCGTTTTAAAGGATCACACGTGGAAAACTTTGTAGGAATTTTCAATAGGGAAATACAGAGAAATAATAAGTAAAATGTAATAAAAAATAGTGGAAAAATGTAATTATATTATGAAAAGTGAAATTTTCATTGAATAATTATTAAAATTAAATGATAAATAGTTCTAAAGTAATGTGTATTGGAACAGTATATACCGACAGCAAATTGCAATTTGAAGAGGTGTACCGACCGATAGAAGCAAAATTAAAAATGACGGCTTGTCAAATTTTGAAAATTCCAATATTTTCATTGAATATCATTACTATGGGGTTATAGAGGACGCTGATTTCGATTTTTTTGTACTCCAAATTTAAAAATGGCGGCTTGTCAAATTTTGAAAATTTAATTATTTTCATTGACTCTCGTAACTATGAAGTTATAGAGGGCGCTGATTTCGAATTTTTCATTTCCACAAAAATTCAAATTGGCGGATTGACATAGTTTGAAAATTATATTGTTTTCATTAAATATTATTACTGTGGGGTTATAGAGGGCACTGATTTCAATTTTTGTTTTAAATTTAAGAATGGCGATTTAACAATTTTTTTTAAAACTCACATTTTTGAAAAAACGTTTTAAAGTCATGTACATTTTCTTGAACAAAATGATGTTTTTGTACATCGATTTAAACATGTACAAGATCAGGAAGTGAACTTGTAATAAGAATTGTAACAACAGGGTACCACCTGTAGAGCCGCTCCTGACAGTCCAAAATCAAAAAACCAAAATTTTTGTTTTGGATACATGAATACCCAGTGAACTAATATCTTGGAATTAATCCATTAAAGCCCATGCTTAGACACATGGAAATATTTGTAATATCAAATTCGTAAACAGGACTGCGGTCCAAACAATGGCACTTGACGTTAAAAATTGTTTAAAAAATAATTTGTTTAATCAAATTTTTTTTTTAAATTCATTAATTTTTTTATTTGATTATAACAATTTGTTTAAACAAATTAGTTTTTTAAACAATTTTAAATGTCACAAGTCTGTCAAGTCACCGTAACATTTTTGTTATAAATAAATAATAATAATTATATAATAATAAAATGCTTGGTCTGTCCTTCTGTCCTAACTTGAAGTTGGCCTTTTCTGATTTCACGTGTTTTTTTGAAAAGTAATCTTATGACGTGTCAAATTTTGACAATTCTTTTTTTCATTTTTGCCAAAGTTGTATAATTGTGTTTCCAAATTTCGGAATAAGTTTCTTTAAAATTCGAAAATTCAATTCACGAAGCTGAAGTACACAACGTTTACCAACGAAATTTTTTTTAAGGGGTTAAACCACTCTAGAATTTTCAAAAAAATCAAAAAAATTTTTTTTGCTTTAAAAGGTGCCTAAGGGTGTATAGAATAAGAAACAATATCAATTATAAGTCGAAACACTTTTTAATTTGGAAGGTCAATTATACGGCGCAGGCATTGCAGATTGAAGGTATATCCAAAAAGTCGTAAGTAAAACTTTAAACTCGTTTTTCTCAAAACTACATTTTTTGTGCTGGCCGGAAACATAACTTTTACAAATCTCAACCGATTTACTTAAAAATTAAACTGTAGCTTCTCAATAACATTATCTAGAGAAAGACGTACGGATTTTTTTTATGTTGCATATTTTTTTTGTTATAAACAATTTAGTGTCAATTTTTTAAGTAAAAAACTCGGTTTTTCCTTAAAATGTTCGCCATTTTTGCAAAAATCAATTGAAAAAAAATCCCCTACGTCTTTCTCTAGCTTTTAAGATGTAAAAATAGAAAGAAATTTGTTTTTTGTTGTAGGATGAAAATTGGAGCTAAAACCTTTCCGGCCGCGACGTGATTCCTCTCAGAAAGGGTTCCTATCACGTACCTGTAAATTTGATATTTTTAAAAAAAATAATTAATGAAGTATATTTTTTTCTCTTTAAAGTGTACCTAATAAAGATATGTAAACATATTTTTCAGTACATTTAAACTTTTCTTGAAAAAAATTTCTAAAGTTAGGCCTTTTTTTGACGCTCTAGAGTGGTTTAACCCCTTAAAGTTGTATATTGATTCAAAAATTGTATACGAATACAAAAAATTTATGATGAGAAAAAAGATGCGCCAGGAAATTTCGTACAAGATAGTAATTTGAAAAAATTATTTCACTAATTGACCCTTCAAATAACAACTTATTTAAATCTTTATTAATAATTTATTATTACATATTTTTAAAAGAATTAAATTTTGAATTGTTTTTAAATAGTCAAAATGTTTCTAGATTGTTTGACATAATGTCTTCCAAAAACGTCTTTTAAATATTAATGGCACTTAAAAGCATTTTAATAAGATAACTTATGTATAAAATTGTTTCAACATAAAGTTTAAGTGGAGGGACTGGTTATAGGACCCCGTATTTTTTGTACAGAAATTGGCTTTCAGTCAATTTTTCTGCAACTTTGCAGTTTTGTAGTTTAAGGCCTTGTAAACAAAAAATTGTTAATGACAAAATTCAGAATAATAGTCAGTTTTTGATTGATTTTTAAGAACAGAATGTTCACAAAACATTATTTTTTATGTTATTATTTTTCAACTTTGAGTTACTGTAGCTAAAAAACTGGCCATTATTTTGAATTTTGTCATTAACATTTTTTATCCCCGAGGCCTTAAACTACAAAACTACAAAGTTGTAGAAAAATTGACTAAAAGCCAATTTATATACAAAAAGTGCGGGGTTCTTTCAACTTATCAAAATTAATGTTGTTATGGGGGGTCAATTTTTTTCTGGCATTATTTGTAATATAAAATTATTGTGAATTATCAAAATTAAAAAAAAAAATTTTGACTATTTTAGAATTTTTTTTTAAACATTAAAATTTTTGAAAATCCATAAAATTGATTGTTCAGAGTAATGAAAAAAATGTACGAAAAAATCATCAATGAAAAATAATAGAAATTGCGACTGAAGTTTAAATTTTTACTTTTTGAAAATTTCAAGTTTTATTTAAAAAATTATTAATGAATTAATTGTTTTTCAATTTCCCATTGTACATTGCAGTTTTAAATATTCAATTTTAACAGAAAGAAATTGACAACCTTAAACAGCCTTAATTTCGAAAGGTTGACATTTCAGCGGTCCCTCCCCTTAATAAAAAAAACATAAATATGTATTACTTTAACTACTTTAATGACAAAAATCTTACTTCTAGAAAGTAATCCATGTTTTTTAATGAAATTGTTGATAAATTTTTACAGCGCACTCGCAATTTTAAAGAACGATTAAAATATATATCACTTGTGTCTATAGAAAATTCAATAAAACAACTTAAAAGTATTTTAAAGTAAGAGCCTAATACTTTAGTGCAGACGTCACTGAACAGAGCTATATGATTTCTGTCCTCAGATTACGGAATATTTTCAGTTACACACTTAAATATAAGTCGTGGATTCATTATGATTACTCATCTATATGACATCATTTTCCCTCTTTATTTATCCTATTAGTTAAAAGCTTACATTATATTCATGATAAATGCATTTCTTACGCAACACTTCCACTATCTCATAGATAGATTAAAAGTCTCCATATTCTTTTGTAGTCGTTTTAAAAAATATATTAAAATTTAAATATTGACTAGATTTTAAAACATTTAAAACACAATTTTTATTTATTTTTTTATGACATTTATGTTTCATTTTGTTTAAGGTGAATATTTTATTACTTTGTTTCTTTTATTTTTAACAATTTAATTATTATTATTTAAACAAATACTTATTTATAAAATACTAAATTAGTGTTGCACGATATAAAATTGAAGAGTTTTAATTTATTTTTATCATAAAATAATATTTAAGGGGTGAATTTTCTGTAGCAATCCAAGTGAGAAAAAAAATTTCTCAGAGTGGGCTCTACCTTCCAAATAAAGTTTAAACCTATATGTGACCGGGTTTGAGGAAACGGTGCTATTGACCAAAATCAACTTTTCGAGAAAAGCACGTTTAAAGTTAAACTACCAATTAAAACAGATTTCTTGAAACATTTTATATTTTAAAGAAGAAAGAACCTATATAAGTGTTCCTCATGTATTTTTTATGCTGCAAATGATTTTTATGGTTAAATAATTGTTTGATTATCAGTGTTATTGTTATAAACAATTTTATTTGCAAAAGTTAAAATATGAAATTTAAAAATTTAATTTAAACGACTTACTAATGTCCTAGGAGTCTGAAATTTTTTATGCACCTTCAGAAGTGACATCCGCACATTAATTCATGGTTATTTCTTACCTACAGAATCAGGTTGCCGATGATGGGTATACTTAAGGATCATCTCCGGAAATTTTGCTCGAAATTTTTGTTAATGGTTTTGGCATTCATATTTGAGGTTTGAAAAAATATCCTTAACTTTTAAAAACAAGGTCGCCGATGACGGGTATACTTGGAGATCGACTTCGAGGATTTATGTCAAATTTTTCGTTAATTTTGAAAAAATTATAAGTTTTTAATTTTTTATTTTAAGAAAAAATACCAAGACTGTTTTTTATTTTAGAATTACTTAAATTTTCATTAAAAATTTTAAAAAAAATTTTTTTTAAACAAATAAGCCTTTGGAAAGTAAAACCACACATAAAATTTTGACCGCCATGCTAATTTAATGGCAGTCAGAAATTCATGAGTTATTTTACTTTCCAGCGGCTCAAATGCAAATTTTTTTTAACATTTGGGACTAGTTGCATTGTATTTTTAGGAACTTAAACTGTAAGAAACCGTCATAAAAAGATTCGATTTTTTGGTCGATAACACCGTTTTCTCAAACCCGGTCACATAAGGGTGATTACCTCAACCACGAAGTATTGTTAGGTTTGATTTTTTGGTCGATAACACCGTTTTCTCAAACCCGGTCACATAAGGGTGAGTACCTCAACCACGAAGTATTGTTAGGTATTAGAGCGACTCCACGTCAAGTGATCGCACCGATTTAGACTATTTGGATAAATTTTTATAATATTGATAATTTGGGTTCTTTTAAGGGACAAAAAAAGAAATGCTAAGCATTTTTAAAAAATTCAAAATATTTTTCAAAATATTGCTAATTTAAATTTTTTGTAATTTTTTTTTTAATTATTATAACTTCCGTAATTTTTAACCAATCGGGATGACATTTTTTTAAAATACTCGAATTTAGAAGCTCTTTCATGAAAAAAATTTTGAAAAAAATGAAAAATTTTAATTGTTTAAATAATTCGAAAAGCATATCTTCGATATTTTTCAAAAAATTCATGATCATTCTCTACCATGTCCTGAAAAATTTAAGACCTTGAAAAATATGGTATGTCTTATAGTTTCCGAGACAAAAATTATTTAGTTTTTGTAGCGCGTGAAGTCATTGTAAACTATATATAATTATAAGAGGCATTTCATATGAGAATACAGGGTCATGTCTCGAATTTTTTTCAAAATTCGGTAAATTGTAGTGATAGTGATGCTAAATAAGTGTACAAATTTTGAATTAGAAATTTTTAATATTTTTCGTGATATTTACAATAACAAAATAGAGCAATATTATTTTGCTTTATTTATAACTTTTTCCCTACTAAAAGTAGAGAGAAATGTTGAGAATGTTTTTTACGCAAAAGACCTTAAACCTTAAAAAAAAATTATTTTTTAAAAAAAATATTAATTTTGAAACAATTTGTTTAAAAAATGAAATTTGTTTATAACTTTTAAACATGTTCTCCTTCATTTTGAAGCGCGAAAAAATCATGAATATTGTTTAAGTCATAATAAATTAATGGTTAAATTTTTGAGATAGCTTTATTTTTTGTTTTCGAGATATTAATTAATTAACTAACAAAAGTTAATAAAAAATGAAATATTTTACGAACAAATAAAATTAGAAAAATTTTAAAAATACCATTCCAATGCTTATCGAAATCCGCATCCAACAAGCACTATATGAACTATTTTGGATAAACGGAAATGAAGATAAATTGTCAATTCTTTTTTTATTTGGAAGATCATCTAATTCTGCGCCAAAAAAAAGTGTAAATAACATTTTTAACAATTCAAATTATTAACATTTTAAAAATCATAAAAAATCGTAAACCGTTCGTTAATAGGTCAAAAGATGCGTCTTGAAAATCTCTACAAAATGAGACTAAGAAAACTGTAGGTGTCATAACATTTTTTTAAAGTTATAAGCAAAAAACGATTTTTTATGATTTTTAAAATGTCAATAACTTTGGATAAAATGATAGCAGATTGTTCGTCAATAGCTCAAAAAATGCATCTTAAAAAACTCTACAAAATTAAGTAAAAACATCCCAACTTTCAAAACATGTGTTTCAAGTTATGGGCAAAAAACGATTTTTCAAAAATTTTAAAAGTCAAAAAAAATATAGTTAATATGTATTAATTTGTCCCAAAGTTTTCTCAATTTATGTCCCCAAGTGAGATCTACAATTTAAAAAAAAATTCAGCCCTAAAGCTCTTATAGAATTTGAGATATTTATGAAAATGTAATGTATATATACACACACACACACATACGGAATGACATTTTCTAAAAATGTCATTTTTGGATTCCTGAGGTCAAAAAACATAAAGATATGTCAAAAAAATGAGTTCGAAAAATTTCGCGAAAACAATACTTCCTCCATGAGGAAGTTTTTTGCTCATAACTTTAAAAAAATGTTACGACACCTGCAGTTTTTTTAGTTTCATTTTGTAGAGATTTTCAAGACGCATCTTTTGACCCATTAACGAACATTTTACGATTACTTTATCCAAAGTTATTGAGATTTTAAAAATAAATAATATTGATAAAAACCTGTTTGCATTTTTTGTTCAAAAATCTTTATGTATCTGTAAAATCATTATAATTAGATTAGAAAGCTTTTTCTTGGTGATAAACTTTTTTTAATTTTTATGCAAAACATACCCAAAACTTTTATTATTCCTAATATAGGGTGAATGCGCTAGTAGTCGGACACTTAAGGATACGATCTCATATTATGCTTTTTTTCTTGAAATGACAAATAACTAGAGTTTTTTCAAGTACATTATCAACTAAAGGAGTTATTCATGATTAAAAAATCATATAAATTTATTGCAAATGCGTCAGTATTTAATAAAATATAAGCATTTTAATGAAAAATCAGGAAAGCTTTAGTAGTCGGACAATTTTTTCTATATTCGGACATCAGATATTGGAAAAATTGGTGCATTGGTATAGGGCCAAAGAAAAATTATTTGATGTACAGAAATTTAATCAAAAATCATTTCAAACTTAAAAAAAATAATGAAATGCATTAGTTAATGAAAATTAAAATTCTTTCTGGGTGCACGATTGGTTACCTCCACGTGGTGCATCTTGCAAAACAATGTCATTGAAATACTTCCAGTTAAAAAACTATTTAACTTTTTTTTATTATATTTCATACACCTAAAAAAATTTAAAAAAACAGTAGGGTAACGGCACCAGTGAAAGAACATTTAAGGAAATGCATACTTTTATCATTTATTATTTTTGAATGCAGTTATTAAAAATTTTTTTACCAATTTTTTTTCGATAGCTAATTAAGTGTAGAATGCGAAGGTCACATTTAATTTTCATAAATATAAGATGTTAATTAAAATTTTAATTAATAAGTAAAACATACCTATTTCACCAGTGAAAGAACAAATTGTCTAATGAAAGAATTTTCTGCATCCAGTGAAAGAACGATGTGAAATATATATTTAAAATATATTTAAAAAATATATTAAAACAAAGATAAAGTAATAAAATGTTTGTAATATACTAAAATAAAGGTAAATTAATGATAATTATGAATATTTTTTAACTAAGTTTGCAGAATCTTATTTTTAATTGAAAATGCATTTATAACCTACAATCAATCATCTACTTGCAATTTATTTTGACAATATTATTGTAACCTAACAGTGTTAACCTATTTGATTTTGTCATTTTTTTGTTTGACTTCAGACTATTCGTTGAAGGTGTTCCTTCATTAGATTGCATTGGAACCAGTGAAAAAACATTTCTGTTCATTCACTAGTAAATAAAAAAAAAACCCCCAATGACGGAATTTGCTTTTCTTATGGCAAATTAATATTTTATTAGCTTTTAAATGAAAAGAAGTATTTCTAATACACAAGATAAATTTAGTTTCAAGAAGACCGACGATTTAAGGCAGTTTAAATTAGTTAAATGTGAAAAAAGAAATAACGTGTCAGAGAAGAGTTCTTATTGTTGAAGATAAATTTGCAACACAACATTTTTAAAAAATTTTTTTTATAAAATTTACGTGTTAACTCTCTAGGTATCTTAGATACTAAAGACGTAAATTAAATAAGGAACATAAAAATATATAATTTATAATACCAAATTGCTTATTACACTAATTAGAATGCAAAACATGAAATTTGTTCTTTCACTGGTGTCAGTTCCTTCACTGGTGCCGTTACCCTAGTAGAAAAAATTTTAATATCATTTTCAATGAAATTGGCTAAATACCAATCATTTTTAAATATAAAGTTATACACACATTATTTTATTTTAATTTTTAGTTTAATTTTTTACTTATTATTATATAAATAAATATAAATAAAAAATCGTAAACTGATCGCAAAATATCTCCATGAGGAAGCAAAGTGTTCATGAAATGAACACAAAAATACATACTTCAACTTGGCAGCGGTTTC